CAAGCAGTAAATAAGGGTCAGATTTGAAGACCAAGTACAAGAACATTAAAAGGAGGCAAAGCTTGGGATCAGAAGCCAAGATCAGGAATAGTTTGGGAAGCAGATTACAGGGTTCAGAGTATAATTAATAAAAGGGGTGAGGGGAGTGTTGGCATCAGTTCTTGGTAGAGAAAAACATCAGTTTCTCTCACTTCTAAAAAAAGAAGTGGTAATGGTCAACATTGGTCTATTAAAAGAAAGCCCTTGGGGCAAATGGGAATCTAGGTTTCTGTCCTCGATGGCTCACCTGTAAATAAATTACAGTGAATTGGATCCTTCTTCCCTGTGCTCTTGCTTGTTACCTCAAAGAACTCGAATCAGTAAAAGCCTGATTTTCCTCCCACACAACTCATGCTACCTTTTTTTCTCAAAAGGCTAGATATTCTGAAGAATTCAATGAGCCATTGTTTCATTGTGTTCACCCTTATCTTTCCTAGTCTGGATGAAACTCACTACTCCAAGTATCCTGGGTCTCTCCAGGCCATAGCTGCTGCTAACAATTGCTTATACCTTGTGATCACCATTTCACCTATAAGTTACTTCAAAATTCTTGGATAGGTGCTACCAACTTCTAGTGCTATGTCTACCTCTCCTCGGCCAACACTGTTGACAGCATCCAATCCACCCAATGTAGTTGAATTCATGGAAGTTTTGGAGAGAATCTCAGTACATCATACATTCCCGGTGTTGAAAGGGATAAAGGGCGAACTGTTAGTGTTCTGACTCTGGAAACACTGTGGTCAATTCTCTATTTCCTTTTCATCTCCGAGCATAAATTTTGAATTTTGATCATTAAATGTTGTCACCAATTCTCTGTCTTCCTTAAATACTCTTAAAAATCTTCAAGAATTTTGAAATCTAAATTTGGACACCATTGAAGATGCTTTTCAAATTATTTTTTACCACCTCATTTTTGTTAAGTAAAAATTTATTTTCCAATATATTTGCAGAATACAACTATAAAATATGTGGATCAATGATAGAACTAAAGGAAGAAATAGACAAATCCATAGTACACACATAGTTGGAAACTTCACCCCACTCTCAATAGTTGGCAGAACAGAAAATCAAAAAATTATCTAGAAGTGATGCTTTGGCACATGTATAAAGAACTGACTTATATTTTGGAAATAATCTTTAGACTTTTAGAAACATTTGACAGTTTTCTAGCCATTGCTTGAAAGTTGTTTTGCCTTCCAAAAATCTCACAAATTTGCTTTAGTCTTATGTTCTTTGATATATTAGCAATGTTCTCTGTGCCTTAAATTCATTCATCCATTCAATCATTCAAAAATGATATTGTTGAATATAATAAAATGTAATATTTATTGATGCCTACTATAGTCAAAAACATCGGATTGGACATTAAAAATGGTTTCATTGTTTTAGAAATGTTTTAATAAATAAATCTTGTATAGGGGAACTATTTAGCAATAATATACAATATGAATAAAATAAGTTGTTAAGAAAGTTATAGGATGATAGGAGTCCTATCACTGCCATAACAAAATACATGGTCTGGGTAGCTTAAAAAACAGAAATTTGGAAGTCCCAGTTCAAAGCATCAGCAGGGTTGATGTCTGGTGAGGGCTCTTCTTTGGCTTACAGACAGCTGCCTTCTCACTATGTATGGCTTTTCCTCTGAGTACTTGTTGAGAGAGAGTGAGATCTCTTCCTCTTGTAAGACCACCAAATTTAACAGCTTAGAGTTCCACACTATGACCTCATTTAACTTTAATTCCCTCCTAAAGGCCCTGTCCCTAAAGACAGTCACATGGAGGTTGAGCTTCAAAATACGACTATGAGGTGAGCATACTATTTAGTCCATTGCAAGGACTAAATCATTTAACAAACATCCTTTACTAGTTTACTTTTTTCAGAAGCTCTTCTCTGCAGAGAATTATGGAATTAGAGTTCTAACCAGCACCTCATTGTTACATGTAAAAAAAAAAAAAAATGTCTGAGGCCACAGAGTAAATGGTAACAAGAGGCAGAGGCAGAAACTAAGTCTTTTGGCACAGCCCAATGCACTTCTCTCTTGATCTGGCCTTGGATCAGAGGGTTACTGCTCTCTAGCCTGCAAAGAAGCTGAGCATCTGGCTTTAGTAAGATGTTTCTACACTGCACTCTGTGGACTCTTCCTACTCATTCTCTCCTCAAATCTCTCTCCTCATGATTACCAAAATATCACATCAGAACTCCTGACGAAAATCTCTTGCCCAAAGACCAAGCGCTGGCTTTTCCCTGTGGGTGCTGGGCTTATCAGAACCACCTTGGGGTCTTTTTTATCCTTCAACACAGTGGTTCTCAACCTTCCTAATGCCACGATCCTTTAATACAGTTTCTCATATTGTGGTGACCCCCCCAACCATAAAATTATTGTTATTGTTAGCAATGTATTAAAGGGTCACGGCATTAGGAAGGTTGAGAACCACTGCTTCATCATATAGGCCCTGCATGACCCAAATATAAACTGTGAATAATCTTCTGATATCAGTTCCAACAGATAAACGACTCCTCTTCCTACATCATCTCTGTCATTTGATGGGAATTAATTGTTGCTTTAGAGAAGTTACATCAAGGCCATCGCTTCCTCTGGGTTGTGGGCCCTACTGAAGGTGTGCTCCCTACATCATCACGCAGTTGCCTTTCTCATCTGCCACTTCAGGCTCTTTCTCTCTTCTCATGATTTGAGGGCTGACATGCTACAGAAGACTTTGAAAATGACCAGCAGACCTAGTCACCATCAGCTTCTCTTGTTCAGTCTTTCCCATTCACAGAAAACAAACCTCTTCTCTGGGGACCAGACTCTTATTTCCACATATACAGGTATTTTAACTTTAGGCAGATGTACAAAGATATTGCTAAGTGCAGCAAACCAACAGTAAATCCCTTCCTACTGGGACACTGGGATTTTTCTCTCTTTCTCTCTCTGCTTCTCTCTTCCCCTCCTCCCTCTTTCCCTTTTTTATTTCTTCTCGCTTTTCTTGCTTTATTTTTTTCCTTGAATTTATAAATCCTTAGGCTTGTCAAGTCATCCTTGCTATTTAGTAACTGGCATTATCATTGCCACATCTGACCCAATATGCCACAATTTAGTTGGTTGATTTGTTGGTTGGTTGAGTGTGACTGGATAGGCTTTTCTGAGCATGATGTTTGCAAAGTTTAGCAATACAAGAAACACAAAATCTCTGGGTTGGGATGTGCTGGTTCTTAACCCCTAGCTGCACATTTGAAGAGTTTTTATAAAATGCTTATGCATGGGCCCCACCTTCACAGATTCTGATTTAATTTGCTCTTGGTCTCTCCATGTGATTCCCCAGCGTTGAGAATTTCTGGATGAAGCTAGAAGGTTTCCCAGACAACCACTGATATAATGGAAGTTAAATCTCTTCCCTTGGGAAATCTAGAATGATGATTCTTTCTGAAACTAAGATTCTAGGTTGGATTATCTTCCAGACAATCTTCCTGGCTATACAAACTCTGCAGTGCTACCATAGAAGGAAGGGGCAGGTAATGGTCAGTAGCAGACCAGAACCTCCCCTCAAAAACCCAACAGTGCCCAGCTGTGAACTTCCTCAAGTCAAGAGATAACCTCCTAGGTCAGTGGTTCTTCTCCGGGGGAAATTTTTCCCTCAAGTGACATTTGGCACTTGGAGTCATTTTTGGTGGTTACAGCTTGAGGGAGTGCTACTGGCATCTAGTAGATAGAGGCTGGAGATGCTGCTAAACCCACAATGCACAGGACGCCCCCACAGCAAAGAACTACTCAGTACAAAATGTCAATAGTGCCAAAGTCGAGAAACCCTTTCTTAAATCCTTGCTTTCATGTCCCCACCCCTCCAACTCCAGTAGAAACCAACCTCAATAGAGTTAATCCTAAAGTGTTTCCTTCTTTCTGATTTCAATACTGTTTTCCACATCAACATTTTATATCCTTTTTAAATAGTCTCAGAATGTGATCATCCTGCTTTGCTTTTAAGAAAGGAAGGCTGCTGCCTGTGTTTGTCAGAGACAGAATTCCCCCAGTGCTGCCTTTTCCTCTTGCTGCTTCCTTTCCCATCTGGGGAACACAGAATGAGCTGAGCCCTGTGACCTGATGGAGGCTGTGCCTAGCCCACCTTGTCTAGGCACTGCAGCCAGGAGAGCCAGTCCTTGGGGTACTGATCACGCCAGGAGGTGTGGCACTGGGTTTATCAGCTGCCAGCCTGGCTGCGGCAGGCCTGCGTTGATTAAAGAGTGCCGGTCTGACATTTTAAGTAGGGTCTATACCTGCTGATTTCTCTCCCCACTTCCTTAGATCATTTCATTATTAAATTAAAGATTGTTGTGATTTAAACTGAATCGTCAGGAGGCCTGGGGACAAACGTAGGTTTTGGTGAAGAAACTAAACGCAGGACTGCATTTACCAAATCCTATCTCAGCAGGGTGCTTTTTCTTTGTCTTAAAGAAATAATTTAAAACTCCAAGGGCTGAAAGTAGAAGTAGAACCTCTCCCTGCAGTGTCAGGAGCCCACACAGAGAGGCTGGCATGCCAGGAAAGGGAGCTGATTATAAATAGCATGAAAAGCGGCATCAGTCAAAACTCACTGAAGTGCCTGAGCAAAATGTTAAAAGAAACAAATAGCTTCTGAAAACGGAAGCAACGGTTTTTTTGATCTTTATAAGTTAAAGTGCTAAGAAACAAAGACAGTTTATCTTCCTATAATTTTAAACATGCACACATGACATACAACACAAATGCACGTATAACGTACATACAACACACACACCAACAGAGCTTCCTTAATAAACTAATGGATAATCATTAATTTTACAATAACAAAAATCACAAGTAGTCAGAGCCTCGCAGAAGGAGCAGCTGTCCTTTTTCCTCTATGTAATTGATGCTATTTATTTAGCAAGTCTATGGTTTCCCCTTGTGAAATAATTTTCCTGTACGTGTATTTTTTTTTCCCCAGTTGAGATGGAAACCATTTGAGATTCCAAAAGCACCTCAGGAGAAAGTGGACTTCGTGAGTGTAAGTCAGTAGTACCCACATTCCCACTGCCCTCCTCTCATCCACGGTGAGTGACCCAGCCATTTGCAAGCTGAATATCAAGCAGAAGCGGGCTTCTAAAAAGGCAGCAGAGATAAAAACCACCTGCATAAGCTTTGTGGGCCAACCAAGGGGCGTCTTACGTATGGACACCAAAGGCACTTGTGAGCTATTTACATCTCAGAAAGGCCAATGGAAATTGAACATTTTCCTACCTCAAGCTCCTTTGCTTTTGGCTAGAACAGGGGCTCTTAACCTTTTTGCTCCAGGGATCCCTTTGAGAAGCTGGTGATGGCTGTGTTTTAAATCGTGAAAAATAAATTATATAAAATTACAAATAAGCTAATTATATTAAAATAAAAATAATTTTAAAATAAATTTGGTTTATTGTCACAAATATGCTTCCTTGTGAAGGTACTAAATCATAAGCCCTAACTAAAAAATATAATAAGTATAAATTATTTAGAGATACCTATATGGTATAATAACTATAATGTTATATAAAAATATTCATGATTTCTATCATTGAAAAGGGTACAAACACTTCTAATACTGCTGTGGTTGTTTGTCTATATTCATATTAATTGAATATGATAAATCTCACTCAGGTGTTAGTGAAAAAAATATATAACATTTCTCTTATCCAAGTTCATGTGTCTCCTAAAATGGATGTCTGGGCTGGAATGGTATCAGTGAAGGGGGCAGCTCTAGTTAGAACAATGCTGATTAGAAGCTCTATTGGGTAGTTATAGGTGGGTTATTGGAATAACTATGCTCTGAGCAAGGAGTATGTTGGGGACAGGAGAGAGAGGCACTGAGAAGGTAGAGCCCAGAGAGACCAGTGGAGGGTTCTGCAGACCAGCTGCAGCTCAGGCTGACTTATGGAGTCTTCATGCCCAGCCGTAGGTCAGATTGTTTGAATCAACTTAGAATTCTTGTAATTCTTATCTTTATTAAGTGCTCCAAATCCTGTGTAGACTCACTTAAATAGACCCCAAACTTACAAATTGAGTTAAAATACAGAAAAAAAATACCCCTCCCCGTGAATTATGGTTATCTGGAAGAGCAGGGCTCCTTTTTAGTGGACTCTCCATCTGCAGGTTTGAGACTGAGCAATGTTTTGAGAAAGCCCATGTGTCATCTGGGCACACGGCAGAGAGAATGACAGTCACTCAGAATGCATTCCTCTGCCCTGTCCGGGAGAGTTAGGCTGACCCTATTCATAAGCAGAGGGCTATGTACATGGTGGGGTACACCTGAGGGCCACTAACTTGTCCCCAATGCTGCAACCTCCCTCCCCAAGACTCCTAGATGGCCTAATATTACCTTTAACACCATCTCTCCTTCTGGTTGATCTTAAGCCTCAAACTGATAAATACCAGTTTAGAATTGATGTTCTGGAGGTTCATCTGATATAGCCATTAAGACAATCCAGATTTAGGCTGTGGCTGGTTATAATCACGCCCAACCAAGCATAACTCAGTAAATTCCAGGCTCCTCAGAAGCAGCCTGGATCAAATGTCCCACTGCTCTCAACAGGAGGACCCTAGTAGAACTTCATCTCGTGACCCTAAGGGAGAGAGGGAGGGCTGCCTGTTGGGCACATTCTCATTTCCCTATTCTGTGGGTTTTTCCCAGGGCCTGCACACCTTATGTGGAGCTGGAGACATCAGGTCTAACCATGGGCTTGCTATCCACATTTTCCTCTGCAATACCTCCATGGGGAACAAGTAAGTGGCTCAACATGCCACCTCCTACATGCTGTTGGCCATAGGGTAAAGGCCAGGTCTTGCTCTTGTGAAGTCACACTTGCACCTACATTGTTTTTTTGTTGTCATTGTTATTGGACTTTTCCTCAGAGCGATGTTGACATATATTTATTGGTAATAAAAATAAATAGGCATTTTTCATCTTGACTCCCTTGACATAAACAAGAATGTCACATCATGATGCAAACAGAAAAAGGAGGATGGGGTGCTGGAATGCAGGCATAGTTCAAGAGGCATTTTCAAGCAGCATTTCTAAGCAGGTTTGAGTCAGAATATTCTGACTAAGGTTCCCCTGGGATATTCTTGAAAACAGTCACATTGCCTGAGCAGCCATTAGGGCCACCTGTTGGTGGCAAATTAAGCTAACAGATTTTGGCTTTGGCTAATAGTTTTGTGTAAGCTTAAAGTTTCTAAGTAGAGGAGCTTATATATCAGCTTTAAAAAATATCTTAAAATGTGTAAATGGCATTTATGCCTTTTCTTTGGAAAGCAGAACATCACAGCAGTTTTAGACCCTATCTCTGGAACCAGACCTTTTGTGTCCAAAGCCTAGCTCCGAGCTTCCTGGCTGAGTGACTTGTGTGTGCCATTTAACTTTTCTGAGCCATGTATCAGGGCCAAGAACACAATTCTATGACAAAGTGCTGGAGATCTCCCTTTGGGTACAACACACATGAGGCCACTTTCCCTCTCCACTTGAGCCACACTGGTTTTCATTCACCTCTTTCAACCTGCCATGTGCCCTTCTGCCTCAGAGCATTTGCATACGCTGTTCCTTCTGGCTGGAATGTTCCCTTCCCTCTTCATACCCTCCCCTAGATAATCCCTTCAGATCTCAGGTCAAATATGTCTCTTCTTTGAAGAAGCCTTTGCTGACTTCCCTATAGATCAAGACCCTATTCTTTCATTCCCTTGAAATTGATTTTCATACTGCCATTACAGTGGGCAATGATGCAGTTCTGCAATTATTTGATTGCTTGCTGACTCTCCACAAGACTCTAAATTCTGCTAGGACAGATACTGAGTCATTTTGTTCACCATTTTATACCCAGCTCCAAGTCTGGTACGTAGTAAACACTAAGAAGTAATTTGTATTACAAATTAATTTAGCAAAATAGTGTTGAAAACGAAAATCACAGGAATTACTCTGTACATTTCAGATGCTTTTACAATTCAGATGGGGACTTCTTGATTGGTGAGTTCTTCATTTCAGACCTTCATTGTTAATTGGTCCCTAGTCATAAGCTCCTTTCTAATTTATGCAAATTATTTTACTTCATCCTCCAATCTGTCTTACTTTATTTAGTACAATCTACTGAGGTGTATAGGCCACTGATTCCTGGTATTCCATAAAACTGAAATTCTATTTTCTGGTCAATCTTTGCCTATAACTTCTGGGCTTTTCTAATGTGGGATATCTAAGTAGCTAAAAAGAAATGAAGATTAATACCAACATGGGATTAACTTATTAAAATAATTCTGTCTTCAAACTCATTCCATAAAAAACCCATCTGTCAGTCATAACTGCAATTTAAATTCAGATTTTCATGAGATCATATAAAATGTAATATCTAAAAGAGATGGTTCTGGTCTGCTCATTCTATTTGATGGTTTTTTAGTATTGGTATTTTGGAGTCAACATTTTGATATAGACATGAGACAAGCAAATACCAGCTTTTCACTGGTGCTATGAGAAATGGATGACTTTCCATCCTATTTCTGCTGTCCATTTTGGCTAATTCACGAAACTGTGTATATACAAGCTCTTTATCTGCAGACTAAAAGAAAAAAAGGCAGTCATTTCGAAATTAAGTTGTCAAAAGATACATTGCTCCCCGCCCCCAAGAGAGTCAATAAAGCTCTTTTCATTTGGAATGAAAAATTAAATGCAGCCCTTAAGCTTTCCCTCTTCGTGAAATGGTTCTCATATGGAAAGCATTGCTCATCACTGCCCCATCTCTTCCTCCAGTTCCCCAGAAAGGGAAGCTTCTCATTTACACTGAGTTTGGCAAGATGCTTGTGCAGCCCAATGAAATCTGCGTCATTCAGGTTGGTGATGTGTCCCCTTCTCCCTGCCTCTCACTAATTTGGGAGCAATCAGATGTTTCAGCTGCTGCTATTTCCAACTCTAAAATTTCTCTGCCATGTCTGGGCAACAGGGAGGGAGCCTGAAGTATGCAGGAGGCTCCATGTGCAGGTTGTGCAGGCTTGGGTGCCTGTCTTGTTTTAATACAGCACACGGTACCAAAGCAAAGAGCATTTGTCACTTCACTTTCCTAGATATTTATACACATGCTGAGTAAAGCTCTGTTCCCGTTGATGGTGGTGGGGACAATGGAGGGACATTTTTTTTATACTGTTATCTCTAGCACCAATGAGAGATTAGAATAAGATTGACTTGAGTCATAGATGTGATTAGGAGTGTTTCTTTCTAACTCATCTGGACATCTCTCAGACATAACTCAACAACCAGAGATTTGTTCTTGCATGTGGCACTGGCTCTGAAGTTGCTTCTTCATAGCTCTAGGTGGGAGCTGAGAGGGCACACTCTTGTCTGCTTTCCATTCCAGAAAGGAATGCGGTTCAGCATAGATGTCTTTGAGGAGACGAGGGGCTACATCCTGGAGGTCTATGGCATCCACTTTGAGTTACCTGACCTGGGACCCATTGGTAAATCTTCACTGCAAGCCTCTAAGCCTCATCTTAATATAGGATGCAGATAAACATCCTTCTTCCCTCACTGTCTCACTCCAACTTCACCTCTCTCTGGACAATTTCTTCTCTAGGCCAAGCATCTTCCCATAAAATAAATGCATAACCGAAAATGACCCAAACCAACCCATTAGAAATCTCCCCAGAATACGTCAACATTGGAGATAAAGACATTATACAATAGATTTCTGGTTGTCCAGTGTACACTGTAAAGGATATAGAAGTTGACTCTGTGGGCCAGAGTCACTAGGAACAGCTTCACAGAAGGGATAAGATTTGACTAATTCTTAATGAAAAGTTGAGGAGAAGAGAATAGTTTTGCAAAAGCATGCACATGTGAATGAGCTTGGTGAACAGGAGGGAGATCCTTAATGGATTGTGCGTTGACAATAAAACAGGGAAAGCCATAAAAATGGACAGAGCTGTACTCCTGTAGAAAGAAGGACTGGGTAACTCATCTCTCTGAACCTCGTATTCCTACTGAGCTCACTCCACAAAGTCCATATACCTAACCATCAAAAAAGGTGCATCACCCAGTTCAACAAAGGAGCTAGGAACCACAGCCCTGTGTGGCAGATTAAAACATTCAGAAGTGAACAAAGGTCCCTTCAGTCCCCATCCTTCTGGCAAGCTAGAGGCAGGAGATGTGGTGTTGGGGGTGGAGGGGTGTTCTCAAAACATCTCTTAAAGCGAATGGAGTGACTGGGAAAATTGGCCCTTGATTTCATCTTTGGTCACACCTCCCAGTTCTTCCCTTCCTTGTGAACAGCTTTTTAGAGCAAAACAGGGACAGGCCAGCATGTGCCTTCTGGTCACTCCCCTGAGGGATCCAAATATGCAGAGGAAGGTGGGAGGCAGCAGAGGCAGCTGGAGCCATGGTGGGCCTGCTGTCATCCTGCTCACCGCCCACTCTTCCCACTTTGCTCTGGCTTCCTGCTGCTCTGCAGTCAGCAGAGCCTCCAGGTTCCATGGAACATGTGCCCTCTGGAACATATATATAATTTACTAACCAGCCGGGGGCTTATTTTTTTTAACCCCAGGAGCTGGAAATGATAAAACACTCCCCAGGTTTCTCTTCTCAGAGTTAAATTATGTTTTTGCACTTATGCTTTTTATATTTGGTCTTTTGATTTATTTTCTTTCTCTGGAGGGAACACTTGCTCCTAAGCAAAGGTAAGCAGACAAGTCCTGAACACTTCCCCTCTGAGTGGCAGACAGAAGTTTTCTCATGCTGGAAAGTGGTTTCACAGACTTGGAGTCTGAGTTCTGTCTAAGGAACAGAGACATGCCTGGGGCAAGAGTATATAACCCTTCCTATCTGAGATAACGGATTGTAGATGAGTTCCAGAGTCATCAGAGTTTCCTTGAAAAGAAAAGGTCTAGGATTCTATCCTATCTTCCCCTTTCCTCTTTTCTAGTCTGTCTTTCTTTCCTTCTCCCCACCCCCGTGACCTGTAGTGACAAGACTACTGCATAAGAAATAGTTTTGTTTTTCTCATAATTGTTGTGTTAAGACATTTATATTTGACCTTTAGACAAATTCACATGTACCCTAATAGGATAACTCATAGGCGTGATCCCCACAGTATCATTCTAGTTGGATGAGAGTTTTTCAAACTGTGTATGGAAGCAACACACTGTATCCTATGATAGAATTAATGTACACAATTATGATCTAATAAAAAAATTTAAAAATATTAAAAATAAGTAAAAAAAAAAAAAAAAAGAAATAGTTTTGTTAACCATAGTCAGTCCACAAACTTAGAAGGTGATGCTGGTGATGATAATAATGACTTTTGTAAATTTTTTCTGATCACATTCCTTGGATCCTCCTGAAAAGGCACTAGACTGAGAATCCAGCAAATCTTTAGGCAATGAAAGCAATTTGTAGAGTGGGCTCTTCATCTGTCCTCTGTCATTTCTAGGTGTCTAAAAGACTTTTGGGTTATTATGTTCTAGGAGCCAATGGCTTGGCCAATCCTCGTGATTTCTTGATACCTGTTGCCTGGTACGAAGATCGCCAAGTACCAGGAGGCTACACTGTGATTAATAAGTACCAGGGCAAGCTTTTTGCTGCCAAACAGGTAAAGTAAGAGGTTTGGTATGCAGAGGAGGGAAGGAACCTATGGATTGGGCACCTATGGATCGCCAAGACTGTGTTAGATACTTTACAGATATCTTTTCGTCTTTACCACACAACTAAGGTACAAAGTGGCAGAACCAGCATTCGGACACCTATCTGTCTGACTCCAGAGGGTGTGCTCTTTTCACTCACCAGACAAGGAAAAACCTGGCAATATGTAGGTCTCTAGAAACAGCCTCGAAAACACAATATACAGGCAGCATAATAGGTCTGAAAAGGAAAATGATATGCAGATCAGCCAAGATGCATATTCTCCTATCACTACCATGTTTCAAATACAAGCAATGGTTGATACAAAACAAGCAGAACTCCATTAATGAGCTTGGTTTATACCACCAGCCTGGTAAATTCAGGACCTAAGCAAAGGCACAAATACTAATTAAAAAGTATATGTAATCTATCATATATTATTATATAATATTACTTAAGTAGTGAATATATAATATATTAGAATAAAATAATTATATCATAAAAAGAACCCAAAGGTCTCTTCTGGTTAGCATTATTTGTTTGCCTTATTTTCTCTATTTGACTTACTCTTTGTATCTGCCAAAGGTATGTTACCGATAGAGAACCACCATTCTAGAAGCAGCCAGCAACTCCTCCAGAAAGGTTTCCACTTTCCACATGGACTGTGTGGTGGTTATTCTGTGTGATCCCCCACTGACTTATTCTCCCATCTTTGGCATGATCTGTAACCTGAGAGCACAGGTCTGTATGGACTGCACCACTCGGGCTCTCTAGCCAGCTAGCTTCTACATGGGTTCACCCACAGAAAATTGAAGGGCAGAAGGAAAGACGGGGTAGGGTATTTCTCCCCTGCCTTCTTGCTGTTTGGGACTGTGTTCCTGGCAATAGCTGCATCCGCTATAGTGTCAGGTCCTGCTGGGTAGCCCCACTGGTGCCCTGAAGCCGGCTCACACTGACTTGCAGGAGCCATGCACATATTCTTGCCAATTTTTGTTCAATGATGTCATATTAATAGCTTAAAAACCATCATGGTGAGAATATTTACATCCTAGAAATCAGAAAATACTATAAATCAAAGCTTTCTATTTTTCCCCAGAGAGCCAGTTATTAAATATTTACCAGTATACCACTGGGCAGCCCCTTTCCTCACGGTTCTAGCTCTTGCTGGAGTCCTGTAACAATATTTCCCTTCCTTATTCCACATGCCTACGAGTGGCAATGTCTTCCCATTATTGCCATTCTCAGATACCTCAACAGCTCTTGTCATGCCAGTGAACCTTAACCACTCTTCCATAGGTATTCCCTTTATTAAAGCCTTTAGGACATTCTGAGTTGGATTGTATGTTCTAAACAGACACATGGCTACAGTGGAGACTACCTTCCTAGAGCAGAACACTGATCCCCTCCTACCCTAAAAGAGGACCAAGAAGCATCACTTTAAGATTGCTCTGAGATCTGAAGTCCTTGGGGTTGAAACACTGAGAGGTGTGCTCCCCTCTCCTAGACTCACCCACCTAGGCACAGTGGCTAATGGAAGCTTCTCTAGGCTATAATTACCTGGAGCACCATCATAGCAGGTGCCCTCTGCACTAGGAAACCCAGACTGGGAATTTCTGATATCCATGGCTAAGTTAAAAATTGTTGAAAAGGCACTTCTTGCACATGTGATCAGAAGGCAGCTGCAGCTTATGAACTGGAAAAATAGGATTAGTGGTTAAGTGAGGGGCTGGTAAATCGAGGTTGTGTGAAGCAACCATGAAATGATTAAGGGTTATACTTCTCCCAAAGGATGGTATAAGTAAATTAAAACCAGAATCAAATCAAAAGAAGAGTTATGCCTGGTACATATTGTAGGATCACAGCTACAAAAGCATTAGAAGCTAAAATTATCCTTTCTTGCTTTTTGTGATTAGGATGTCTCCCCATTCAATGTTGTGGCCTGGCATGGGAATTATACGCCCTACAAGTATAACCTGGAGAACTTCATGGTCATCAACTCGGTAGCCTTTGACCATGCGGTAAGTCTGAACCATGAAGTGGCCCTGGGGACAGTGCAATTCTTGAGTGAAAGGGATTCACCGTAGACCCTTGACATTCACAGATTTAACTTTTCCATTATTACCCTTGGAAGCCCTAGTCCTTTGATGAAGTAAGCATAGCATAGGTAGTGAGGGAGCCAGGCCAGATACTCAGCATTCACCCACGAACACAGCGTCACTCTTTATAGAATATTCACAGTAATTCTCATAGATGGGTAAAAGCTTAGTTTCTCTGTGGATCACTTATTCTGAAAAAACAACCAACTGCTAATGTTAGTGATGAAGGGAGGAGAAAAGAGCATTTATGGATTTGGAGAAGTCTCTGTCCTCACAAATCTTGAGTCTCTCCTGCATGCTCTGGCTGCCTTCCTTCCGCAGTGCCTCCACTCCTGGCTGATTTGGGCAATGACAGAGCAGACGGCCCCCTTCCAACGTTGCTCATGTTCAGTGGTTGGATTTAAACCAGAGAAATTCTACAGTGGGAATTTGGTCATATTTTTCACTCAGTAAGCCACAAATAGGTTTCTGGTCTAAAGTGCAGGCCCCAAAGGCCCCACATTCTTGATAAAGTGCTTGTTCTGAGATCCTGGGGGAAAGTTCATTTTGCAGCCTGGTTTGTAAGAGATTAACTCAACCCACAAGCTGGAGGGATAATTAGAACAGAAGCCAGAGAATCACAGACAGAAGGATTACTCTGAGGCAGTTCATCGTATCTCTGAGGGGGGACAAAACTACCTCTCTGAACAGCAGCAACTCTTAATAAAACAAAAGAGGAAAAGAAAAGTGAGACAGCAGGCCCAAAACAGCATGAGAAAAGATCCCCAGACTGACAAAGCTTCGTTTGCACCTCACTACCTTTTCTTCAATAGTTTCAGAGAAACAGATGAAGATGTGTTAACTCTCCCAGTGATAAAAGTTGAGTTTCTTAAAAATTTGAATTTATTACAGGTTCAATACTTTCTGTACTGCTGCTATAGTTATTTTTCCAAAATTTGGATCTGATTATTCCACCACTGCTTTAGAAAACCTTTGCAGGCTTCCCATGGCTTAGGATTAGGCCTGAGCTCTGAAGCCTGGTATTTGATGCTCTTCACCATCTGTCCCTGGGCTCATTTTCCAGTACCACCTCTTGCCCCTCTCCCTTCTGTCATCATACTGTGGGCTTTAGCCTTCTCTCTTCTTAACAAAATCTCTGCATGCTTTGATGTCTTTCTGTGATTAAAATTCCTTTTCCTTCCCTCTCTCCCTTCCTTTCCTTCCCCTTCCTTCCTTCCTTCCTTCCTTCCTTCATCCCTCCTTCTACTTATCCCTCCCTCATTTTCTTTCCTTCTCTCTCTTTCCTTCCTTCTTTCTCTCTTTCTTTCTTCCTTCTTCCTCTTCATTCTTCAAGATCTAACTCAAATATCACCTCCTTTTCAAAGTCTTCCTTAATCCTTTCAGGTAGAAATAGCTGCTTTACATCTACCCCAGAAAATAGATTTCAACCATCTTTGAATCCCCAAGACCCTGGCATGGCATCAGAAAGCAAACATGATTGCCAATTTCAATTAAATTGGATCTCTGTCTTTCCTACTATAGAGTCTGATGTTCTTTCAAAAGTATAACCTTACTCTACCCCACCTCTATACTACCACTACCAAGACTAGTGATGTAAATGGCATATTTTAGACCTGAGAGTCAAGCAAGTATGGGAAAGCAATGAACCAGTCAGTCCTCAGACTATCTTGACCACAGATCCTATCTGTAATCCCTGTGATTCTCCCAAAGAGAAGCACATCTACACTAAAACTTGGATCTTGTTTTATTTCTATTCCCACCTTACTCTGATCATCCCTTCTGCAGCACATCCCAGCTCTCATCACCGTGATCTGAGGTTGAGAGGCAGCCATCATTGGTTCTGAGGGCCATGGAGTACTAGGTTGCATGTAATGTAAGCTCATCAGGGTGAAAAAGCAGCTCAGAATTCTCTTAGCTGGTGTTAATTCATTTGTCTTCAAGTACAGCAAGAGGAGGAAGTCAGATGAGTGATTACTTCACCTTGATGATAAGCCAAACTTCCCTTGTTGGATCAATAATTAGATTGTTTCTTGAAAACATCTTCAAGTGTGGATGAAATATGTATCACTGTCTAGTCACCTCCCTTGCCTCATTTGTTCAGTCTCTCTTGAACTTCACAGGACCCATCCATTTTCACGGTGTTGACTGCCAAGTCTCTCCGCCCTGGAGTGGCCATCGCTGATTTTGTCATCTTCCCACCTCGATGGGGGGTTGCTGATAAGACTTTCAGGCCTCCTTATTACCACAGTAAGTCTCCTGTACCAAGCCACAGGTAGAAACCAAAGAGACAGCAAAGCAGTGCACACTGCTCATTGGGAATAATGCCTGGGTTTGGACATTTTGCCTGGGCTTGAGTTCAGGAACCTGCCTAAAGCTAATCCCAGACTAGAAGTAGCTTAAATACCACAACTTCTCTAGGGATGGTAGCAATACACTGACTGAGCCTAGATCTCAGTTTCTCTGGCCCTGAAGGGAGGAAGAAAGGCTGGCAAAGTATGAAGCAAGAAGTTTCTTTACATTTCTCATGTGTCTTTTGGGAGATGGGAAATGGTGAGGATGTTGTCAGTTTGTTGTTTTTGGAAAGGTCATTACCTACGGCTATTCAAGAGCCAGTTAAATGTACCTTCTCCAATTATTTTGGAAGGGCAGTGCAGACTACAGTCCATACTAGGGGATGAACTCCATTCTGGAAGGAGTTTCTGTAGAGTGTTTGTTTCCTAGAAAGGACTCAACAAATCTCTATTTTTATTTTATTAATATTCTTATTACTGACAGACAATTATTATTTTTGGCCAGATTCTGCAGACCTGTTAAAATTGTTTAAAAGTACTAAGTCATTCAGTCCTTAGAATAGTAAAAGAGAGGTAGTATCATTGTTTTCTTCTTTTTCAGACAATGAAACTGACACAGAGGGATTAAGTAAAATCTGTGGTCCCCACAGAGGGATTTGACATGGTGCCTAGTACACAATGTGCTTCTAACAATATTATTTAATAAGTGACTGCATCACCAAGAGTGAATAAAGTACTCATAGCTGTACTTAAGGTGGACACTTTTAACTGTGCAACAGGTAGCTGAAAATCAAACCTAAAGATCAGTGTATAATTCTACTTGCTGGAGTTGCATTTTTTTGTGTGCATAGAGCTCTGGAAAGACTTTAAGATGCATTGTGGCTAGAACATGCTAGCAAACAAATCCTTCTTTAGTTAATATCCAGGCCTTCTGTTTCTGTGGGGAATTTAGGCATCTTAGAGGGCAGGGGACTAAGGCCCTTGGGATGGAAGGAGACCACTTTGTGGTCAAATGCTAGCATCTCCCTTTTTAGGTGACACCATCATGGTGGAGAGAAGAAAACAATCAGTGCTTTGGGAATAGTGTCATTATTGCAGGACCTGTGAATTGAAACCATTTGACTCTCGCCAAAGATTATAGAAGGAATTTTATTTTAGCTGGCAGAGCCACAGCAGATTAGAATCCAGAATGGCCGAGCTCCCCATCAGCTCCGTGTTTGTCCTTTTACTGGACTCACAAGTAGACAGACAAAGCAATTGACATATTATTTCTCACTGGAGGTGTTGAATCATGTGCAGGGTTTACAGAAGCGGAAGCAGGCAGCAAGCATTAGTTTCAAGGATCCAGGAAGCTAAGTTTTACAAATTCTTAAGGGCTGGGTCACCCTGGGGAGGACCTTACAGGTGTGTCCTTGAGGTTCTCTGAGAAACCTTTGGGGTTTTTTTTTAGACTTTACTTTTCTCAGGTATCCTCCCTCACCATAAATCCTTTCTAAAGCATGTCAAGCCCACTAAACACCCTAACTTTTCCCCTCCTGGAAGTTAGTGCCCTAGAGCAGTGGTCCCCAACCTTCTTGGCACCAGGGACTAGTTTTGTGGTAGACAAGTTTTGCATGGATGGTGGAAGTGTTGAATGGGGAGAGGTTATAAATACAGATGAAGCTTTGCTCACTCACCCATTGGTTACCTCCTGCTGCACAGGGTCAGTCCTCACAGACTGCAGACCAGTACCAGTCCATGGCCTTGGGTTGGGGACTGCAGCCCTGGAGAACTTGTTGTCAAAGAGAGAGAATTGCCCTGGCTTATAGCCTATACTTCACATGCATATTTAAGGCCAGGCACATTGGCTCATGCCTAAAATCCTAGCACTCTGGGAAGCTCAAGTGGGAGGATCACTTGAGCTTGAGAGTTGGAGACAAACTTGAGTGACAGTGAGACCCCTATCTTTACTAAAACTAGAAAAATTAACCAGGGATGGTGGCATGTGCCTATAGTCCTAGCTACACAGAAGGCGAAGGCAAGAGGATCTTTTGAGCCCAGGAGTTTGAAGTTGCTATGAACTAGGCTGAGGCCACAGCACTCTAGCCTGGGTAACAGAGCAAGACTCTGTCTCAAAAAATTAAAAAATAAAAACAAAATAAAATATTGTAGTGAGCTTAACTCTATGCATCTGAGGTGGTGGTTCTCACATTTTAGCATGTGTCAGAGTCATCTGGAAGTCTTGCTAAAACACAGATTTCTGGTCCCCACACTCAGAATTTCTGCTTCAATAGGTCTAGGATAGGACCTAGGACTCTGAATTTTTACAAGTTCCCCAGTGATGCTGATGCTTCTATTCTAAGGACCTCACTTTGAGAATATTAGGAGATATAAAAATCACTTAGAATACCTTTTTAAAGAAGTTTATTCTCAAGGCCCACCCCCAGAGTGTTTATTAGTTGGTTTTGAAGTGGAACCCCAGAATTCTGCATTTTTATCTAGCAGGTCAGGGGATTCTGAAGGAGGTGACCTGCAGACTGCATGTTGAGAAATACCGGCCTCAGGTTTGCCTCTCTACAGAGGTGGAGGAATAATAGCGTGATCAGACTTGGACAAGTTTGCTACTGTGTTGTAGGCTCTCTACCCGCTCCTTAATTTTGATTTGTAATTTGGACTGCCTGAAACAAATGACCTTGTGAGATGCCTCCTACAATTTTTTTTTTTGCTTTTATTTTATTTTATTTATTTATTTTTTTATGGAGACAGAGTCTCACTTTGTGTCCTTCAGTAGAGTACCTAGCTCACAGCAACCTCTGCCAACCCCTGGGTGCCTGGGTTTAAGTGATTCTCTGGCCTCAGCCTCCCAAGTAACTGGGATTACAGGTGCCTGCCAGAATGCCCAGCAATTTTTGGTAGAGACAGGATCTCACTCTGGCTCATGCTGGTCTTGAACCTCTGAGCACAGGTGATCCATCCACCTCAGCCTCCCACAGTGCTGCGACAACAGGCGTGAGCCACCACGCCTGGCCCAATTTTTTTTTTTTTTTTGAGACAGAGTCTCACCATGTCACCCTCACTGGAGTGCCGCAGTGTCACAGCTCACAGGAACCTCAAACTCTTGGGATCAAGTGATTCTCTTGCCTCAACCTTCCAAGTAACTGGGACTATAGGTGCCCATCACAATGCCTGACTATTTTTTGTTGTTGTTGTTGTTGTTGCAGTTGTTATTGTTGTTTAGCTGGCCTGGGCCAGGTTCGAACCCACCAGCCTTGGTGTATGTGGCCGGCGCCCTACCCACTGAGTATGAGCGCCGAGCCAACCTCCTACAATTTTTTAATAATTCTGAAAGTAAATTTGGCCCCAGGATAGACTGTATAAAGGTGTGGTGGCCCTGAGTTAGTTGCAAAAAAACACAGAACCCCAAGTTAGAAATCAGACCAGAGATGTTAAAAATATTGCTCTAGCAATATTCAAAATCTTTGCACTTTGATGTGACTTTATAAGAGAAGTAGGGATGTATTTCTGTAGAAATATCACCTCCAGGCATCTTAATTCACCTTAGTCAAATAGATCCAGCTTTAATCAGAAAGACAACGTCCATCCTTCCACTATCCTTTGAAATGTGGAAAATGATGTAGAAATGTCATCACCAAACTCATTGCTACCTAAATTCGTATTCAGATCAAAGCTGAAGTCTGTCTTGCTTTCTTCTTAAAGTTCTGCCATGAAGGTGACCCTGAGGACACATACTAGAGCAAGGAGTGTGACAGCAAATTTAAATTATGAGCAGAACTGTTTTTAAAATATAGATACTTCATGCTTACATTTGCTTCTTTTGCTCTGTTTCTACTTCATAGAGAAAGAAGCAGAGCTACGATCTAGATCTTACCTTTTCTGCAGCAGCTGTCACTCTCATTCACTTCATGGGGCCTGTACTAGCTTTTTGTTTTCTGAGAAGGGTGGGTGTGGCTGCTTTGTCCATAATAAAAGGACTCAGGCACTTGGACTCACCTGTATGGTATCCATCCCAGCAGGCAAGAAGGACAGGCAAAGCAAGAAGGGCAGGTATTTTTTTTTTT